GGAGTGTAAATTAGTTCAACCATTGTGGAAGACAGTGTGGCGATTCCTCAAGGCCTTAGAAATAGAAATTCCATTTGACCCAGCAATCCCATTACTGGGTATATATCCAAAAGACTATAAATCGTTCTACTATAAGGACACATGTACACGAATGTTCATTGCAGCACTGTTTACAATAGCAAAGACCTGGAATCAACCCAAATGCCCATTGATAACAGACTGGATTGGAAAAATGTGGCACATATACACCATGGAATATTATGCAGCAATCAGAAATGATGAGTTTGTGTCATTTGTAGGGACATGGATGAATCTGGAGAACATCATCCTCAGCAAACTGACACAAGAACAGAAAATGAAACACCGCATATTCTCACTCATAGGTGGGTGATGAAAAATGAGAACACATGGACACAGAAAGGGGAGTACTAAACACTGGGGTCTATTGGGGGGAAAAGGGGAGGGCCAGTGGGAGGGGGAGGTGGGGAGGGATAGCCTGGGGAGAAATGCCAAATGTGGGTGAAGGGGAGAAGAAAAGCAAAGCACACTGCCATGTGTGTACCTACGCAACTGTCTTGCATGCTCTGCTCATGTACCCCAAAACCTATAATCCAATAAAAAATTAAAAAAAAAAATTAAAAAAAAAGGAAACAAAGATAAGAAAATTATATAAAAGTTTCTAATGGTGAATATGTTTATAAAAATTTTGTTTTATGTTAATAAACATTATTTTAACTCAGTTTTCCTCCCTTAATAAACAGAGAGGCATAAATTCAGAGAACATTTAACGTTGTTAGCTCTTGACTCCTTTCATTACACTTCACCACTTAAATGTGAAAAACGCATTTCCTAGCGTCATTTATATAGAGCTTCTCTTATATTGTGAAATTCTGGGCTTATGATGTCATGTAAAATGGAAATCTTTTTTATTTTGACAAATCTATATACTATTTGAAATATTTTTTCGGCTCCCTAAACTGGGTAGTCTTCCTAGAAGTTCAGGATTACTTTAGTTGCTGGGTAAGAGATGCCTCTCCATGTCCTGTACTATCCATCCTCAGCCCACTGGGTAAGAGATGCCTCTCCATGTCCTGTACTATCTATCCTTAGCCCACTAAATGGGCTTAGAATTACATCATTTTGTAAATCTGGGACACGATAACCCAGATGTAAGGATAGTGGCTTACATTCACCTTTATAGGCTTGCTCCCAAGTGTCCTACAGGATGAATTCTAGGTGTCTTATGGAGTTTCTAGATCAAAAACAGCTCATGCAGTGAGTGTTTTGACCTACTCATCTGAGTTTAGCTTCTGCCTAGGTTTCCACATGAACGTGTCTTGCTATCTTGTCAGTGGGTAGAATTTCCATAGCAAAAAGACAATTTACCATGTATAGTCACCACTATCAGATATCTGAAGAATAATTCTATCTAAGGTCTTATCTACTGTGCCTTGTCTACCTGGAAGTTTGCCCAATTAAGAGTTTTCTACATTAAGATTGACTTTTTCTGTGCTCTCTGGACCTAGAACTGCAGCTGAATCAATCTGCACATCTCTTGTCTCACACTTTCTCATCAGTCCTTCTCTTCAACTAAGTGCCAGTTTTGCCTTGATGTCAATTAACTGATCCTGTTGCTCTAAGGTACTAATAATGCCACTTTCATGTTACAGAAGTCATCACAGAAGGATAATTTACCTCTTAGTAATACAAAAGAAATCCAGAATGCTAATACCATATGCGTAATATTTTCTTGAAATTTTTTTTGTTCCATTAGGCTAAAATAAGTGGGGGAAATGGTCTTCATATATTTTTTCATAATGATTGGCTAATTCACGATAGAATATAAAGTAAATCAAAGAAACATCAAATAGCTAGGAAAGAACAAAAGAGATGCAATTTAAAAATATTTAATGACACTTCATCTAACAATATTGTTTCACAAATGTATTAAAGTTAATTCACTTTCTAAATTGCCTTAGACTAGTAATGGGGTTGGGGGAAAAAAAGTCTCCCTTTCCTTCCCTGGGCTCTAATTTTACTTTTTAGGTACGACTACTGAGGAATTTCTAATTTGGCTCATCACTTCAGTGGGAATTCAGTGCACATAAGGGGCACATATGTAATTGGCAACCTAATTTTTCTGCTTTCATCAAATGGTGCAATGCCAAATCTTCATTGAACTTGCCAGTTATATGCATTTGGGAACCAAACAACAGCAAGCATACATGAGATGAAAATGAACAAATTGGAAAGAGTCATTAACTTTCTGTTTTCCTATCACAACAAAAATTGTATCATTGGAAGTGTTGCAAAGTGGGGAATTCTACTTGAAACATTAAACAATTTTAAAAGAGAATAATTTATTTACTTAACTTCTAAAATGCAGTTCATTATAATTTATAAATGGGGTTTCTAGTGCAGATTTTTTTCAAGAAAAATACAAAATCATTAAAATGAATCAACTTTTTAGAAGTATATTTTAAGTTATATGTATGTTTCATATGTCTTTCTGGTCTAGTGAATACGAATTCTAGCCTTTATTTGGAAAGAAAAATTACTGGAAAATTAAGCAAGAAATGTTGGCATCATGTAATACCTTAATTAATAAAGGCAATTGACAGATTTTCATGGTTCTCACTAATTATGAATGCAACTGAGAGTGTAAAAATTACAATCAGTTGTGGTTACCAAAAATGCCCTTGAAATACCTGGTCTAATACATAATTTTTAAGTATGTAATACAGAGTCATAATCAAATCATCGTTATTAATGCCAAGTAAATGACCCAGGACACTGATAATACCACAAACTCTCTGAATATGATTGAGTATCATCCTTTTAGGAGGACAGAATCTTTTAAAATGTCTGTTTACAGCTCTCAAAGCACCTATTTATTCACTAGATGCAAATGTTCAGTATTATCTCCTCTGCAAAATTTCCTTTTACAATGACAGCATTGTAAAACACAGAAAGGACTGTGTAGGAAAGTTTTCTTTTTCTATGTATGAGTTCAAGTATGTTAAGACTTTTGAAAACCTTGACCAGCTCTAAAAATGGACATTTCATAAACCACCCTTGCATTGTAATAGGAAGGAGGGAGGTAGAAGAAAAATGCCAAAGGATTGTAGGTTACCTTTATTTCATAAGCAAAAGCTCTAAGGAAACTCTTGAAATTTTCAGCTAAGCCAGGCATTCTGAATGGGGGGCAATATGGACAGCAGAATAAGGCAGGTTGAGTTCCAGCTGCATTACTTATTCTTTGTATGATCTTAGGTTATCCACCTACCCTTTCAAAACTTAACTTTCCTGGTCTGTAAAATTTAGGAAATAATAATAGCTGTCTCATAGGGCACACAATCAATCCCAATATGCTTTGTTAGTCCATTCATTTTTTTCAATGCTTAATTAAAGAAGCTTTAATGGCTTATATTTTTATGTTATTGCTATATTCACACACCTGTCCTAACTTTGCTGTCCTTTCTTTCCCAATATCACTTTGTTTTTATCACACTCCCTAATATGTCTTCTTTGTTCGCTCTTGAGCACATGCTTAAATCATTTTTAATGGTGGCTAAACTCGGTATGAGAGATTGAAGAATTAGGAAAGAGGAACATCAATGTGAAAGGGCAAAATATACGGAGAATATATAAGGTGCATATGACAAAACCCCGAAGATGTATAATGGTCATAAGCCATGGAAGAAGATATGACAACTAAATTGTCAATCTTGTTGCCTCCTCCATAGCATCCTAAATCTTACCTTCCTTTTTCACATTTATAAAAATAGTTTCCTACAGTTGTCTCCCAAAAGCAGAGTTGTCCCCATGCTATAATATACATTGACCACTCAGATTCATTTAAAAAGTACATCTTGCTTTTATCCCCAATATAACCACATTTCAGAAGTTAGATTATAGCCAGCTAGATTATATAGAGCACACACACACACACACACACACACACACACAAATGTGTAGATTACTTATTTCCTTAAGTTGTTTCTCAATACCTCATGCACCTGATCACACCTTGTAATCTGGGCAGAAGGTAAGGGAGGCGATGTCAGGTACAAATTTAATATTGGATCTATTTTCTACATAGAAATGGTCCTACATTCTATCAGAATGGGTTAAAAAAAGATACGCACACACACACGGAATTAAATACACTACATTTGCTGTATTGCCTTCTATAGGCATAAATATACAGGAGTGGGGATAAAGAAGGGGATGAATGGGAAAGAGTTCAGAACTCAGTGTTAACCTGAAAGGAAATGAGGCAGTGCAAGGGGAGAGAGGATCAAGGGAAAATAAATTATGTAGGCAACAGAAGCATGCATCAGAAGTCTTTTCGATCCCTAAACTGGCAAATTTTCTCCAGGGGACCATCAGTCAAATGATGTCAAATTGGTAGCTGGTTCTGCTTGTAATGCCTGTATTGTATAGGACCTTCTGTGTAGGAAGACAAGTTCCACTCTCAGACACAGTCGCAGTGCTTCCATTATCTTACAGAATTGATTGCTGCAAATGGTTCCTGGGAGGTGTGACCTGCTTAAAGGAAAGAACCAGGTTTCTTTTCTTCTTACTGAGGAAGGAAGACACTTGTCAACATGTGAATTGGATGGGTGAGAAGGAGAAGCGGAGAAAAAATCTGGTAATTCCTTCTCTTAGAGGAGGAAAAGAAAGAAGGTAGCATTGGAACCTTGGACAGGAGAAATACAGTGCATTTATTTCCAGCATCCCCGCAGTCACTTCGCTTCTCTTCAGACTCCCCCCTATTCTTTAGTCTTGACCTGCCAATGCACTTGGACTCCAGGTAAGCACCGGGATAGACTGGGGGTAAAAGGCCAGGTCAGCGCGGTGGGATACTACGTTCCCTAAAATGAAAACTCAGCAGCGGGCCAGCAGTAGGTGTACGCGCGTCGATGCAAGAGGATGCGTGCGTGAAAGCCGGCGGACGCAGTGGGCCGGGCGCCGCCCTCCCAGCCCACCCCACTCCGCGTTCTATAAAGGCCGCGCTGGGGCCCGCCCTCCTCACAGCCCGGGAGCGCGGCCTGCCGGGGAGGTGGTTCCAGTGCTCCCCACACAGTCACACTCCGCGCACTCACACACTTGGAAGCGCCTCCCCACGTCCCTCCCCTGCCCTCCTCTTGCTCTGCTCTCTTCTCCCTCACCACAAATAGTCGCCGACCTACTGCCAATCTGCCTCTCTCTCTCTCTCAACATGACTGACTGGGAAGCGCTGGCTCGGGCAGAGCAGCTCCGTTGGCGCAGGCAGGAGGAGCAGGAGGATTATTAAATAACGCAGCTCGACTCTGTGCCACTGAGAGTGGAGAGAAGGAGCCCTACGGCCGAGAAAGGGAGGGAGGGCAGAGGAGGGGGACCAGGAAGGACACCCCGGTGCCCCGAAGACATAAATCCCTGAGTGCCCGGGAGGAGCCTTAACAAGCGGCACGGAGCCCTCAAGGTAGTAACGCCCGTGGTGCCTCAGCGCCCAGCGGGTCGCGCGTCGCGTCGCCGCTGTGCGGGGCTGGCCGCAGGCGGACGTGAGGACGACCGCCTGGCAGGTGACTGCGCCGTGCCGGGGCCGCCCGGAAGCAGCGCGCGCCCAGGCCCGGAGCGCCGGCTGCGGGCCCGGCGTGCTCGGCGCAGAGACCTGGCCTTGCGGGCGGGGTGGGAAGGAGGCGGGCGGGTTCACTCGCTACCGGCCCGCGACCCCCGGTGCGCTGCGTGGCCATTTCCTCCGCGCTTCTGCGTGGTTTGCTTCCTGCGACGGTGGCGGCCGCTCCAGGGCGATGCGGAGCGGTGGCCAACGAGGCGAGAGTTGGCGCAGGCTTCTGGTCGCTCCTCTCCCTCGCCACTCACGTCCCGCAGGTAGGGGCGGCCGGCCACTGCTGACGCCCGGGCTGCGGGTGCTGAGGCGGGGACGGCGGCGAAGAGGGGGAAGGGAAGGAGGGGGCGGGGAGCCCGGGTCTCCTGTAGGAACCGCAGTGCCCGGCCGGGTCCGCCTCTTGCCTCCGCCTGCTAGTCCTCTGGCGCTGGTTTCTTGGATTGGAAGCAAGACCCTGCCCAGAGGCAACAGTAACAGCAGCGACTTAGAGTGAACCAATTGCTTTGTGGTGGCGTGTGTGTGTGTGTGTGTGTGTGTGTTCGCGCGCGCGCGCGCGCGCACGGTCCGGACTAACCAGTAGGTTGGTTCACCTGAGTAGAAAGTCAACCCTGAGCTGAAACCGCATGTGGCCCTCTGGCTGGCCCCTTCGACTTTTGGCTTGTGTCCCAGGGACTCCTACACACGGTGCCAGCAAGGGGTAAGGGTGACGGAGGGTTTTGTGAATGGTGCTTCTCCACCCGTGGAGTTTGAGCCTTCCTGATGTAGAGGAGGAGGTATCCAGAGTGAGAAGAAAGGCTATTTATGGCAAAGAGTTGTGAAATTTCTTGGGGTTTCCTTTAGTGTATCCCCAGCTGCTCTCTTTCTCTCTCTCTCCTCTGTCTGTCTCAGAATTAGAAGCAATTATGCTTCCCCCTCCTCTTGTGGGACCTGGAATATGAAATGAAGTAAAAAAAAAAAAAAAAAAAAACCCCTTATATTTTTACAGGTAGAAGAAAAATACTTCTTAGAAGTTACATATTCTTTGCTCTTTTATGTTTTTATGTCCTCTACTCCACTCCTCTTACCTTTTGAGGCAGTCAGTAGGACTTACAAGTCAGAAAATACCTACTTGGTTTCAACAGTTTTCATTTCTGAAATCTTTACAGTCGAATACCTTCCTATTGAAATGTAACACATATCCTCCATTCTCTGCCCCCCACAGGCTATTAAAAATAATGTGTACACGTTTAACGTAAAGGTGTTTTTATTAAAAGCCTCAGGGAGAACAGAGGCATGGACACCTTCGTGGGGGTCAGTTATCACTGGTTCCTTCAAAACCGGTTGTTAAGGGAAGACCTAAAATACTTTGAGTCTAGTCTATAACATAATTTGTTTTGGTTTCTCTCTCTGTTTGCTTTGTAACAGGTACATGTTCCAGATATGTAACTTGAAACTTAGAGATGACTTGGGGCAGTGCCTGTCACGGTGCTTATAAAATGAATGTTTTCTCTTAAAAGTAGCAACCTGTACTTTTAGAGGACCGTGACTGGGTTTGATAGGACAGTGTCCTTAATATTTCAAACTGAGATAACTAAGAGCGTGCTAGCACAACGTTTTCAAACATTGAAATTCCATGTTGTAACCACACGTTCAATAGTTTCACTGAAGAAAGAAGTAAATTGGTCAACCTATTGTTAGAGTGACTTGTCTTCATTTAATCAATCATTTTGATCAAACAAACCAACTGTTGTTTGTATTGTTTTTTCAGCGTGAACATAGCTTTCCTTAAGAACTGGTTCATTTGAAAAACAAAGCAGAGTTAAGGATTTGATATTTATATTTTGTTACATTTATATTGATTTGAAATACACTTTAAACACAGAAGCATGTGCGCAGCTTTAAATATTAGGTTAGAACTCAGATGGGGAACCACACTCTGAGGGTTATTACCTCAACTATCCCAAACTATGGGAACATAAATATAATAGGGAACTTAAAAATGTAATTGATGAACTGTATTACTGCAATCATTAAAAGTCCGATTTATGAGTATTTCGTTTTTTGACAGTCAAGAGAATCAGCAGCTGTTTATTATTTTAACGATACATTATTTATACCATCAAATGTTAAATTAGATAAAACTAAAAGTAGAAAATGAAAAATTTATTACATTTTTACCATAATAGTTATTCAACCCTTTATTGCATTTTACTACTCATCATAATGCTCATAATAAAGTGCCTACTGTGTGCAAGGTACTACTGTCTAGGCATTGGAAAGGAACAGGAGATTCCTTGTTCCCTGTCCTTCGGAACTTACTTGCCATGTGGGAGGAATATGGTGTTCATGCTTGAACATAGAGTTAACAACCCATAACAATAAGAGATTACATGTCTAATAAGTACTACAGGAGTTCAGAGCATGACAATAAAGTTTCCTACTGGATTTTGTTTGAGAATGCTTCGGGAGTAGGTAAGACTTGCTTGGTTTTGATCTTAAAGGATAAGCACAATTAGTACATTGTGGATAAGAAAAATATAAGGGATAAGATGCAAATGTCCTGGAATAATAGTAAAGAATACATAAGGGAAGATAAGTTTGTTTTGACATAAATTAAGATATTGCTGGATACTTTGCAGAGTGCAGGTTGGGTCTGTTTTGGATGTACATCCTTCTACACATTCATTTTTTTTTTTTGAGATGGATTTTTGCTCTGTCACCCAGGCTGGAGTGCAGTGGCACAGTCTCAGCTTACTGCAACCTCTGCCTTCCGGGTTCAAGCGATTCTCCTGCCTCAGCTTCCCAAGTAGCTGAGACTACAGGTGCATGCCACCTCGCCCAGCTAATTTTTGTATTTTTAGTAGAAGCAGGGTTTCACCATGTTGGCCAGACTGGTCTCAAACTCCTTACTTCAGGTGATCCACCTGCCTTTGTGTCCCAAGTGTTGGGTTATAGTCGTGAGCTACTGCGCTGGGCCTATATTGCCTTTTAACAGACATTATGTACTTGTATTACTGCAATACTACAATAGAGTTCTCGTAGAGAATATGTGCTTTAAAAATGTAAGTATATCCACATCTCACTATTGTGTTGAGTAAAAGTGGTACACATGCAACCTCTTTGTAGTCAGGCGTTTTTGGTGTTTCCTTAAGCAAATCTTTTTAGGTTTGCTCTAAAGAAGTGTGATGATGTGTAAAATAATAAAAGTGTTAATAGTGAGCATTCATTGAATATTTAACATTTTATTCTTCATATAAAATGTGTAGTCAAATAATATATTTTCTATAATGTTTTATTTTAAAGTTGTTAGACTTATTGAACCCATTAGATTAGATTTTATTTAAAGTTATTGTATGCATCCACATAATAGTTAATCTATCCTTATATTATTTGTCATGAATATAAAGCTGTGATACAGAGCTTGTGGTGAACGTTTTAGAATTTTAGCAACAATTTTATGGCTATTTTAACTATCTTCTGATAAATAAATTGTATTAATAATAACAATTCTCTATTCTAAACTTAGTTGATTTTTCTTTGTGTATATATGTTTATTTTAGACAAACTGTGTCTTTGTGCATATATGTTTATTTTAGACAAACTGTTTAAAATGCATTTCTTTATTTCAAGAATAAAGGGGAAATATCTGATTTGACTTTGAACTTGTCTGTTCAGTATGACACCCCAGAAGTATGTTGTGGTGACAGTAAAGAAATTGTACAAATATTAGACATGGCTTTCAATAAATAACCAAGTGGAATTATTTTCAGATTAGTTGAATTAAAATATTTTCATATATTTTGTTGACAGTGAATAGATAAGTGTTATTACAAAAGTGAAAGGCTATTAAATCACCAGTTTTATATTCATGCAAGAATGGAATGATTCCCCATGTAGTTAGGGTACAAACCAGCCTATCTGTTAATTGGTAACTTTTGAGTTTGGTTTTGGACTATATGTCACAGGTGTATCATTTTGATAATGTAATCTCATCCACTGTATGACTGACAGCTTCTGCATGATTTCCCTATTGGATAGTGACAAAATCTGTTTGCTTTATAGTGAGTACATACACTTCTATCAGCCATATTATCTTCCCTGTGCAAGAGTGTCAGTTAACAATAAAACATGAAGTCTGGGGTGGAAGAAGCAGTGAAAACAGATGGGGAGATTGAGGAGAAAACACCATAACAAAGGGAACATGTTTTAATAGACTGAATATTGAAATGTAAAGCTGACCATTCTAAACTGCAATACATTACCAAGATATTGTTATCAGTCTGCTTGTAAACAATCATATTGCATTTTAAATTGTTCCCATGCAGGCTAAATTTTTTACAAAGTGTTGGAAATGTTTACTGAGGTTTTTGGCATATTAAAAATTGTTAAAATATTTTTGCTTAGATCATTAATGAAGTTATTTGCCAAATTCCTGGCCCTATACCTAGGTTAGCTTAAAACACGGCTTTTGGTTTTGCATCATTTACACTGCATTAACTCTTTTGAATTTTTAAATTATGCTTTGATACTAAATGCAGTCCAAAGGACTTTTATAAAGAAACACTTTATTATCTAATGACATTCTTAACCTAGAGTAGTGGTTTTCAAAATGTGGTCCCCTAAGCAGCAGCAGCAACTATAAAAACTTGTTAAAATGCTGTATCTGGCGCCCCACCACAGACTGATTGATTCAGAAGGGGTGGGGTTCTCTATGTGATTCTTGCACACTCTGGAGTTTGAGAGCCACTGACCTAGAGTATTTCAGAGTGAAATTTGAAGGCTGTGTCTTCTGTCTGTTTTATAAATAAGTACTTTTTTTCAGCTGGTAGTAAACTAAGGTTCAAATATTCAGTCTTGGAAGATATTGTACTGTCCAT